AAAAAATCTTCTAATTCAATAAACTTAAATAACCAAACATGTACGTCATTACCATTACGCCATCGGTTGAGTTCATTTTCAAGCCACTGAATGGTGTTTCGCAGGGTCTTATTTTTTTCTTTTTCTTTTTCATACTTCTTTTTCCATTGTTCTGCAGTTAGTTCAACATTAACACAAACTGTATTCTTAATTGTTTTGGCCCTGGGTATGGGAAGCAAAAAAAGGAAATGTGACTAAAAGCAATTCTTTTTAACTGTTCTCGTTATATCTTCATGTAGTATATGTACAAAACCCATTTTTCTTGTCCTCTTACACTAAATATGAAAACTTCTTAAATATTCTAAACTATAAAATTAGTATACTCACATCCCATTAAATCTGGGTCAGCCCCAACTTCAATGAAGAGTTTAAAAAAAAAAAAATCAAGCCAATGAGAGTAAAAAAGACCAGTATTTCCTCAATTCATTTTTAAGGCTAAACTGAGATATTGTTGTTGATGGGGAAACAAAGGTATTGATTTTTCCAAGTTAATAATTTCATATATTATTGGATTCTATTATAGTATGTCAACAAATTTAACACAGGACTATACCTGCTAGGCTTTTATTTTTCTTAACTAAATGCTCATTTTCTAAATTAAAGAGCTAAATTAAAGAACTCCCATAAATTTCACTAAAGGAACACTAGACTTTACTGCATATGCAACATCAACAATGAACCTTGCTTATAAGGACTCTCTCAATTAAAGTATGTTTCACATTATTACAATATGTACTAATTTAAATAGTATCAATTATCTAATACAGAATTACATCTGACATTTCATAGGACTTAATAAATGGCCTACCCACACATAACTTCTGTATTTTTTAAGCAACGAACCTTTGGCCAAAAAGGAGTGTAGATTTTGTTTCAGACTCATTATATGACGATGGAGAACAGCAAATTACAATAGTGGTCCTACAGTTGCCTCCTAATGAATCTTGAAGGATTCTTGTCATTTTACTATCTCGGTATGGAACATATGTCTACATACAAAAACAAAAACAAAGAATATTTGACCTTTATGGGAGCAGACTGCCACATTTTTCACCCTTGAGGCAGCTGGTCCAATTGTTTAACTTTTAGTGAGTACTGTAAGTAGTATACAACTCAAGGTCCTTTTATTTACAGATTCCTAACAGAATTAAACATATTGATGCAAGCAAAATAAACTTTTTCTCTTTCCTTTTCATAAGCATACCATTCATATAGACAATTTCCAGATTGTGAGTGACTTCACTTCTAAATTTGTTTTTAAGTCAAATTTGTATTTAAGCTTACAGGTAGTTCATATCCAAGGTCAGTCAGGCAAATGTTTCTTTTAGTATATACAATGTACCTTTATAGACATTAAAATATTTTTTAATAGTAATTATGTTCTGAAGAAAGTGTAACTGGAATGTTCCTTGGAAGCAACATTGGTGAACTTCAGTCTAACTTATTTTGGGCATATTTTCAGGAGGAAACTGTCCTTGGAGAGACACACCATACTGTGAAAGGTAGCAAATCAGTATAAGAACAAAGCTTTAATGAGATGAATTGACAGAGTGACTACCAAAAGTTTGAGCAAAATTAATATTGTGAAGATGGTACAACACAGGACAAGGTTAGCTCTCTTCATAGGGTTACCATGAGTTATAGTAAACTGCATAGCACCAATCAGAACCAATAAGGAACCAAGATAGTTTACAAAAATAATTATAGATTGAATATATATGTTGGAAATTGAGGAAGAAGCAGAATGCTCCCAGATTGGTGCTTTTGGGTGGTGAGAGCCAATGGGAATACTTGATTATGGAGGAATGTGGAATGACAGAGCTCACTGAGTTTAAACCATGCCTTGGTTTTTAAATTCGGTTGGAAACTGAGGAAGCAGCAGAATGCTCCCAGTTGGGTACTTTTTGGTGGTGAGACGAATGGTTTTGTTTTTGGCCTTCTAAGTGGTATAGCACTGGTCTGTCTATTTGCTGTACAGAGGTAACTCCTGGTTGCTGAGATGCTGAACACTGTGACACTGATGTGTCAAATGTGATAATGGTTACCCATGGTGGAGTGTTTGGTGGAGCTTCCCGATTAAAAAAAGCTTGGAAGCAGGAGTGGCATCCACTTCCGAAATAGCTTGCTTCCGGAAATCCTATTAACTTGGAGAATTGATGAAAATTATACAGATGTTCAGGTCTTTAGTTTATAGGATCACTATGAGTTGTCTATGACTCGATGGCACTTAACAACAACAATAATAATTATGTTTTGATGCATGCTGCTGAGCCAGAAGACAAGAAAACAGGGAGCTACAAATCACCAGGGAATGGCAAGGTGGTGGTGGCAACAGCTGTGCAGCCAGTGAGAGAGCCTGGAATCTTATGAAGCCCAAGGACAAGAAGGTCCTGAGTGGCGGTTGCAGCACAACATGGGGCCAGCGGCTTCTCAGCTCTCATTTGGAGCAGGTGGCCGTAGAACAGACTCGCACTGTTGGCTGCAGACCACTCAGGGAACAGCAATGGGAAGGGAGAAAATAGAAGTGGATAAATAGGAGGAAGAGTGGCCTGGTGGGATCAAACTTTTCCATGTGCTGTACAGACATAAGACAGGAAGGCAGAGGATAGAATAGGTGGGGTGGCTGGCGGGCTGGGGGCTTAATTCCAGGGGGTGTTGGAGAAGATGATCACAGAGTAAAAAATTCTGAAGGGGGAAACTATGGTACAGCAGTAACTGCAAAGTGAAGAAGCCAGATACAAAATGTAGGAGCTTGAGAATGGGAAGAGGAGGAAGTGGTTGTGAAGCACATGGCCAATGAGTGCTTGGAGCTGTATTTATACAGGCAGTGAGTGACACACCATTCATCCCACAGTACATCCAAAGAACCAAGAGAGAAAAGACATTAAGAGTTGGTTTTCTAACTGCATGGTTTATGTTTATAAGCCAGGTGTTGCCTATATGAACACTGCTATTCAATCAGTCTCACAAAAAATATAAAAGACTTGTATACACTCACATTGCCCTCAGCTAAAGCAGAGATGACATTTCCAAGAGCAGAAAGTGACTTGTTGATGTTCTTAGCTTCATCCAGCACAGCACCTTCAGCTCCAGTTTTACTAACCTATACATTAAGATTTCAAAATAATGAAACAAAATTGTAAGTGTGAAACATTCTTTTTTAATTTTCCAGTATTAAGAGTTTACCAACAAACAAAATTCCTGAACCATATCAAAAAATGAATTGATTCATAGTATGATTTACTAAAAGATTACCAATTATTTCTTGAGAACTACTTTTTCTTTCCTCTCAATGGTAGATGGGTGAGTTTGAGCTTGCAGGGAGCAAGCTGGCCCTAGACTTTTCCAAGTCCTTATTTCTTTGCCTCCAATTCTTTCGCATCCAAGGACAGAAAACCACAGACACGCCTTTGTAGGAGAGCACTACTCTTGAAAGCTTTATCCAAAACAAATAACTGCATGACAGGTATGTGATTTCAGAGATACCAAATTTTATTTTTGGTTTGTGGCAAGAAGCTGAGTTGCAAATCCCAAAGGTATGTGGTTCAAATCCATCAGCTGCTGGGCGGGAAAAGGACAGGCAATCTCCTCTTGTGTAATTAACTGCCTCTGAAAATCCATTGTAGGGTCAGCTTTGGGTCAGTTCTAACTCATAGTACACAACAATAACAACTTTTGAAAATTGTCAATTTACATGTAAACTTTTAATTCACTAATCAGTTAAACCTACTCTGTAACATTAAAAATACAGAACCTTTTAAAATCTGCTGAAGTATAATGCTGACGTTATCTGTACTAGTCAGAAAATAGACTAAGTTTAATTATACATGCAATCTACGCACAATACAGACAGACTAAAATAACTTATCAGTATTAACAAAAGAGCTTTTTAGACACCACAAGATTTAGAGATAGCTTTAAAATAAGTATTTAAGACTTCTGAAAATAAAAGAGGCATATTATTCTAATCAGTAAAACAGTTAAAATAGTTAAGAATGTGAACTTGTTTTGCTATAAACTAGAATCAGATTGTAAAGGACTCTAACAATGAAATAATTATCTAAGGGGAAACAGTATATCCAAATCAAAAAGGACTAGTCTCCATGGATGAAAGAAGGGCAAACTCCTCCAGTGCTACTTAAAGTCTCTTAAAATGTGCTGGAAGGTCAGCTATGTGTTGTTTCTGACTTGACAGCACACAGTATCAACCACCAAGTATGAATAAGATAGATAACTGAAAATTAGAAAAGGATATTAAATGTCATTCTTAATAATGGACTTATACAAAGTTCTCACTTAAAATTGGTCTAGGTAATACCCGTTGAACAGTTCTTAGGAACTGAGTGTTTAGGTAAAGCACTGCCATTGGTGGTTTAGCTCTCATAAACATTTCCCAAGCCAATGTGAAAATTTCTCAAGATGTAACAATACTATAAGTACATATTAAAGCTGGTTTATGAAAATGCTGAGAAATTCACCAAAAAATTGCATAAAGATTTTTACCTTTTCACTCCCAGCTAAATCAACCAGATAAAGTTTTCCACTCAGTTTTTGCTCCGTTTGTGTATTTTCTTGTTTTACATTAATAAGAAATATACTGTGACTCCTAGAGCTATGTTCATTCATATCTGCAATGAAATGGCATAAACTATCAATAAATATGATTTTCCATTATGAATTATCTTGGCAAAGCATTCTTTTACAACTAATCATCTGGATAAAAATTCTTTAAGGCTGTTTTGTACTCCAAACAGTGCTAATAAAAATGTTCTAACTTACTTGTAACTGCTACATGTCTGTTGGATTTTCCTTCATCTATGGTATCCATAACTTCATCTGGACTACATACAAAACGCTCTGTGCACCCCTACGAAAGAATTTTTACAAAGTATGTCAATATTCTTTACATTATCACAGAGTTTACTTACACAATCACATATTATGTTATAAATACCTTTACATAAGGAACTCGGTTCTTGTCTTCATGGACTGAAAGATTGGTCTTTGAAACTGGGAGGGAAAGAAATGTTAAATCTTAGCAATAGTGTCTCAAACCCTTAACACTGGTTACAAAACAGTGAATTCAATTGCTTCCTTCCCTGATGAACTTAAAGACAACATGTGAATATAAAACAAACAAACAAACAAACAAACAAACAAAAAATACAAAAAACAAAAACAACTTAAAACATTGCTATTAAAGCAAGACTCTGGGAGAATAAAAAGAGTAGTTTATAGAGAAATGAATACAGCAATATACAATTTTAGGTCTAACTTCGTCCTCTATCATTCTAATTTTTAATTAAGCTTTAAGTCTGGGTAGTTCAATGAGTTTACCCAAGAACAATGTATGTTTTAACAGCTGAGAGACACAAGAACTCAAAGTTCAGACTCCTCACTCACATTAAACTCATTACCAAATTAATTCCTAGCTGACCCTCCAGCAGGTTTTTGGAGATAGTAAATCTCATAGAGGATTATCCATCTTTCTTCCACAGAGCTGTTAGTGGATTTAAAACACCAAAGAGCTGCAGACTTTGGATTAGCAGTGACACCTCCTACGCAACCAGAGGTCCCTCAAGTCTCAGGCTAGGCTCACTTAACTCCTTAAATGCTCATTTCACTACTTAAGTAAGATGTAGTCATATGTATTTGCTTTAAACAAGTTACTCTAGATGCTAAATGACATTTAACTAAAATCTTAAAACAAGATTATTTTTAAAATGTCTTAATTCCACATAATTTATCAAACTGTCTCAAATCAACTCTTAAAAAAAAAAGTGGTGGGTGCATGAGCATGAGTACATGGGGGAGAAAATGTACAAAGAAGTTAACTTACCATCTAACAGGTCCCTTATCTTATCCAAATATATTTCAAAATATGAAACCTATTAACGTGAAGAAATAAAAAATATCAGTCTACTGAAATTGTAAAATTACCTATTCATTAAATATTTACTGGGACCTGAGTGTCAAGCATTGTCCAGACTAGGTGAACAGTTATCAATAAATCAGACACAGATTTCTAATGGAAAGAAATAAACTAGCTAAACTGTTTCCTAGATTATTGAGTAGTAGAAACCTGAGTTCTATAGTAAAATAAAGCCCTTATTTTATACACAAGCAATCTAATAACAAAGAAACCTATATAAAGACAACTTACTTAAAGTCATGTAATGGTAAATCAACAAGAATCTAAGTTTAATTTAACTCTAATAATCTTTCAATTATAATTAACCATAAAATAAAATAAAATATAAATCTTTCTCCAAATGCCTTACCTTAATATGAAATTCCAAATTTTCATCCATGGAGTAAATATAATTAAAAATATCTTGCACTATTCTTGGAATAATACCCATGCCTTCTGGATCATGAAGTTTACCCTAAACAGAAGAAAAAATCAGACTTCTTACACAAATTATAAACTATGAGTTAAAATTAAAATCCTGAGTCTACAATTCATACTAAATAGAGAAATTATAGCTGTTAATTTTGATGAAAATGGCTCTAACAAATCATTAAAACAAATAATTATCTATATTGGTAAGCTATTGCCTCCAGAAACCCTATGAACCTGGAGAGGATGAAAGACACACAAGCATTGAGGACTTTGCTTCACAGGGTCACTATGAGTCCCCTGTGACTGATGGCACTTAACAACATCAACATAGAGAGAGATCAGTTGGCCCAGTGGACAGAAAGTGATGCTACTAAGCCAAAGGTCTTGACTTTTACTCCACGGCCCTCGGGCCTGTCTTTCATTGTTTATGTTCAAACACTGCTCTAGGTTGTATAGCCCTGGTGTGTCCACTGACATTGATGTGTCAAATGTGTTAATGGATGATGACCCAATGCAGACAGTGTGGTGTGGAGCTCCCGGATTAAAACAAGCTTGGAGCGTAGTATTCCATTGGTGAATATACCACAGCTTCTCTACACATTCGTTTGTTGATGGGCACTTAGGTTGTTTCCAACTCCTTACTATGATGCTGAGTGAAATATCTCAGTCACAAAGGGACAAATGCTATACGGTGCCACTGTTGTAGAATGAGGCTGACATTAAGGTGGGGGTAAGACTGAGAAAAACTGGCTAAATTATGTTTACTGCATTGAAGTCTATGAGGGAGAGAATAGTTTAAAAGTATTATATTTTAGGGCATTATGTTTATCACAAGAGGACGGGATGAGGGTTGCAGAGTGGATTATATTTGGGGTGGGGGTGGGGTTGGGGGCTGTGCAGGGGGGATTGTGTACCAATGAAGGAGTTTTTCCATTTGCTTTTCAAGGAGAGGAGCGAACAGGGCGTGAGGGTGGGGTGGGCGGGGAGAAAAGTGCAACAATGAATGAATGGAATTCCGAAATCTCTGTAGATGTTCACTGAAATGGAAAAAAAAAAAAAATTAAAACAAAGAAGCTTGGAAGCAGGAGTGACTTCCACTTCCGTAATAGCTTGCCTCTGGAAACCCTATGAACCTGGTGAGAGGATGAAAGACACAGAAGTGTTGAGGACTCTCCTTCATAGGGTCGCTATGAACTAAGAACTAAACCATGAGAAAATAATTTGTTTTGTTAAAGCCATCTATATTCCTTTATAACTACAATAGATACTAAGACATGTGGTACTCAAAACATGGAAAGGGTTTTATTTCAATAATGACGTTCATATCAAAGAAAGAAAATAAAATGTTTTAAGCATGGTAAAATAATTCCACAGACAAAATTTTATTTCTGGTATATATTGCTGAGCATTAAAAAAAGGTGGAAAGAATATACTGAGTCACTGTATCGAAAGGAATTGGAAGACACAGAAGAATTTCATGAAACAACAT